ACAGGAGGCGCCCGCTAATTCGCTAATTAATTAATTAACTAATTAATGAACACGCGCGCTAAGTGCCGCCTCGCCGCCGTCCGCCCAGGCGGCGCCGCGGGGCGAGGGCGCTTAGGCTCCCCCCGCCTCCCCCGGCGGCTCAAAGGCGCTTAATCCGCCCGCAGGGCCGGGCTCCCACTCCGGACTAGGACAAAACACGGGTAAAAACCCGCTTTTTTGACACTGCCTCTGTCGCAATCCCGCCCTCCCCCAAGGCCCCCAGGCCGCCCTCCAAAGCCCAGGGGCGCCAAGGGCCCAGGGCTGCCCCCCTCCACCCAGCGCGGAGCCGGGGTCCCCCCCAGCCTCCCCCGGCACACACGCAGCCCAGCGCACGGGGTACAGGTGTATTTGGGGGAAGGTGCATGGCGAAGACAACGTTACATGATGCTTCGGACACAGGGTTTGGCCCAGCAAAGCCCACAGTCCCGCGCGCTCCCCGCGCCGCATCCCGGCAGGCTCCGTCCCCCCGGAGCACTCGGAATAGCCCCTTGTGCCACGCTGCCTCCTTCAGCACAGGCATCCTCAAACCACAGGCAGGGAACGTAACCCCACAGGCGGCCCAAGGGCAGCCAGCAGATGCCAAAGGGGACACAGACCCTTGCAGTTATCTGCAACCGGAGGGCACGCGGCCCTGAGCACGCGGCTCTGGCCCCCGTGACTCCAGCAGGGCTGCAAGGTCCATCCTGGCCACGCCGGAGCCACAGCAGTATGGCACGTGAAACGTGCTCCCAGGGTGGAAAATGCAAACTCGGGCTTCTCCCTATGGAGAAGGAAGCTGCAGGGAGCCCTAAGGCTGGGGAGGATGGCGGGAGGTGGCATCTGTTCCCTTGGGAAAAGGGGGGAAACAGAAACAGCGGAGAAGGGACAGAGCTGGCCAGATATCATCTCACATTAGACCCTGCCAGAGCAGCTCTCCAAAAAGGGAACCACCGTCTCCCTCGTGCCAAAAATTGAGCCACGCGGGCGGCATTTTGGCACGTGGAGGTCTCGGCGCTCAGCCCCCCTCTGCTCCAAGGAACACGGGGGACGCAGAGGCCACAGCGGCTCGATGAACTTTGGTGGCGAAGGAAGAGGTGCCTCCCCCGCTGCCAAAATGCGGCCGTGGCACAAGCAGCACTGGCAGGTCGAAACTTTTGGCACAGTTGGGCAGCCGGGTGAGATTCCCCAGTGAGAAACAGGGAAACAGCAAAATAATAAAAAAACAAAATAATAATAATAATAATAATAAAAAACAGAAGAGAAGCTTAAATGACCCAGCACCCTGTCCTGTAGCTGCAGGACACCCAAGAGAACAAGTTATGTTACAGTCCGAGGGGAGACGGAGACACATGGGCTTCCCAGCCAATGTGGGGGTCTCGTCTCTATTGCACTTTGCATCATATATATTTCTATACTTATAAAAATACAAACTAAAGGGCTGGGGCGGAGGGGATGAGATGCAGGCCCTGGGCCAGCAGCAGCTCCGTGCG